GCCTTTAGTGGCTGCGTTTCGTCCGATGAGTGAGAGAGCCGGTTGCCCTTTCCCTATTCCCACCCTTTCCTACAATATCCTTATTCCCACCCCTTCCTATCCCTATAAAACAAGGTTGGCAACGCATCCGCAACATCTTTGTTGCGGATGTCAATGGGTGACGGTAGCCACCTTCCATCAAGTGGGCCGTCTGCTCGTTTGTCACCTTTGACATAAAAAAAAAAATACAGGGTGACTGGTGAATTACTATCAATATTTAAGGAGCATACTCGGTACAGGATTCTCATTCGAATTATGTAAAAAAAATAGGTACTTAATTTTTGACCGAATTTCCGTATAAATAAATAAAGTGTGTACACGTTCCAAGTGTTCCAAGTGTGGACGCGTGCGGCGGCGTGCTGATACAACAACACGCCGTCGCGCGCGAGTGTGTGTGTGTGTATACCTAATCTGTAGGGTGTTCATACGATGCGTAATTAATTACATAACTTTTGGTTAACTTTACTCAGAAGTTTATTAATATTCATGTTATATTAATTTTTATTTTGTCATATATGATCGTCAAATATCACGTCCTCAAATATCGATAGTAATTCACCAGTCACCCTGTATATAAGCTTTGTAGTATTTAAATTAAAACCAGAAACGGTACATAACAAATTTAAAAGATTTCACAATTAAATTAATATGGGAAACGAAATAATGTTTTATAGCACATAATAAAAACAATCGTTAATCACGGAACATCTACGGAATAGTCGTTAAAAATGTTTGTTACCTAATTAAAACAGTTTGTATACGATGTTCATAATCCGAACTTTATAATTTATCCGCTAATGACACGTTCAGTCGATCAAATATCAATACGTCGGCAAAAAAGTTCTGTTCTACTTTGATGCATATCTTTTTTTGACTAAAGTTTTAAATACATTTCTTGATTTAAATTGACCTTTATTGGAATAAAAAACTATATGCTATGAAAACTTAGTTCAAAAATAAATGCAGATAAATTATATGGATGTGATATACATACATATATATATTATACTAGTAAACCTGGCGAACTCCGTTTCGCCTCCAGAAGGCTTTGTTTTATGTAACATTTCGTTTGGTGATTAAAAGATGAAGATTTTTTTTTTGTTTTATATTTGAAAAGGAAAATATTTATTTCATTTCACAACAGTAATGAATTCATTTCGATTACAAAAATGAAGTGTTATTTAGTTGAACTTCTCTAAGTAAATGAAAGTGAATCCAAAGTAGATACCGAATCGAAGCGTTATACGTGTCCGCAAATTATCCGTTTCATTGAAGTGCTCCTTTGTAAACCACATTTTTTGTTTTTTGGTCTAACGTTAACACAAATAAAGTGGATGGTTTCCCAACTTGTGAACACACAAACTATTACTGCCCATGTGAAAAACAATGATTTTCTAAATTTATACCGCAAATACTAAATGGTTTTAATAGTTCAAACTACAAACACAATACCGGTTTGTCACATAAAATTAACTGAGAAGAAAACAATGAGTAGCTGTCAAACAATGTATCACGCGACGGCACCATCTACTTAAAATATTGATTTGTAGTACATGTTAGGTATGATGGCGCTGTATGTGACTAAAGATTTTCCACCTTTTCTTGTATCTTTCGTTCTGAAGTTATAGCGTCAGGATGGAAAACCGGACTTATTTTTTTATAGTAGATTTCTTACAAATATCAAATTGTTTTCCATACGTCATTACATATCTGTCATTATACGTCAATTGCATAGCTGTCAATTGTGATTCGTTATTCCACGTTTTATAGTGACTGACGTTTCATGTCAAGTTCCACGGGAATGCTGTCGAACGGGATAAAAAGTATCCTATTGCAATTTCCTGGTTCTAAACTACTTCACTGCCAATTTTTAGCTAAATCGGTTCAGCCGTTCTTGGGTTATAAGTGGAGTAACTAACACGACTTTCTTTTATGTATATAGATTATTTAATATTCATATATGAACATATGTAACTCTGGTGTACAAGATATTTATCATTTGCTATATTTTAGAAAACATCCCAAGAATATTAAACTTTTGCCATAGGCTCTTTAAATTAAAATAAATTTAATTTAAAATTCACATATTTAGCCAGTTGTTATTAAAAACTTATCTACCATCGTAAAAAAAACTTTTGAAAATATTATTAATATATATTTGGTGATATGAACTTTGCTTAGTTGTAGAGAGAATGATAAAATCAGCTAATATTTTTAAACAATGCGAGAATAAATTGGTCTTCATATTATATTATGTACTTTGCTAATGCTTATCAAGTCAACCGAAAAATTGTTTGACCTCTCTTCAGATATGAATTACCCCATTTTTTTTTTAATTTTATATACATTTATATTATCTTATATATTATACTATGTAATAAACAATACTTTGGATTGGAAAATGATAACAAATTCGAAGCAGCAAACTCACGAAAACTGTAGCATCATCATTTAAGTCGCTTTAAGTACAATAAAAACAAAAAAATGAAAAGTATTAATTTACAGGGTCTTTATGAAAACTAAAGACTTTCAGTGTATTTCGTTTATGCTTACAAAGAACAATGATCACAAAGATTTTTCAGATCATTGTTTTATGAATATTCTGAAGTGACACAGTTTTATTTATTTGTGGTGATGATAAAGTGTTCTTAATATGTATTCATTTGCACATTAATTTTACTAACAAGTGTAATTGGCGGCCGTAAATAAGAAATATTATTTAATGGGTGACTATTTAAGAAATAGTAAACAAAAATGTTAAGAAAAGTAAAAAAAAATCATTGGTAAAGTATGGGATTATGTTTCTATATTAAGACTGGTTACATTCACGTACAAAATTACTGTAAAGATTTTGAGAAAATGTACTTAAACTTAAAACAACACAATCTATCTTAATACACATAAAATCATATCTAAGTGGTGTTAAACAGAAAAGATTTCTGCTAGAGTTATCAACCTTATAGCTTATACCCATTTCAGTAGGTATTGGTAAATTTTGAATGTTTTTAGACTAGAAAATTTGGTGATCTGTTTTCTTAAAATATTAACTTTTAGTGAATATTTTTAATGTGTCTTTTCTAAACATTTTTCTTATTCCACATTTTCTTAGTTTTTATAAATGTATATGGGGCCTTTCAAGTATTACGTTAGCAGATTTATTACAATTATTAACCCCCCCATCCTCCTTGTCAGCAAAAGTAAGCAAAGCTCTTACCCCCTCCCCCCATACTTACGTAAACATTTTCAATTACTATATTTTTTTTAAATATAAGTCCAGAAAAAAAATATAATTGTATTTTTTTATGGATCTACTCGATGTGACGATTAAAAATTAATAATTTCCGATGATGTAATCGATACCTAGACTCCCCTACTCCCCATGTCATCCAAAATAAGCAAAGCAAAGACCCCCCCGCCCCTCCATAGTGCTTACGTAATACTTGAACGGCCCCTATTCAATCACACTTTTTTATATATTATATACATAGATGGTACAAATTTAAGCTATACTCTTTTTAATGTTCTGTTAAAATTTAAATATTTTTACAATTATTTAAGATAATTTTCTCTTATATTTTATATATAAATGGTACGATTAAGACGTAAATTATATAAGTAAAATTACATGAAATGGTTATTAAAATAGAAAAAAGTAGCTGTTAAGAGACTTTGAATACACGCAAATGTGACACAGCGTATATGACGTCACTTTGCTTTATAGTTGTAAATAAAGCTTAGATACAGAGATATATCTTATATCTTTAGTGAAATATGATCCTTTTGCTTTAGATCATTGAGTTGAAATTTCCTAAGCAGTGGTTTGTTTCCCACTATGCGTATATCAAAACTAACTTATAGTAACACTTCACTAAACTTCTTAATGTTGTAAAAGAAACGGCGTTTCTTTTCACAATTCCTACAATCTCAACACTATTATAATAATTAAAGTTAAATTCATAATAGTGGTCAATTTATAATTACTGAATTATATACATCCAAGTAATCTACTCTTTTTATAAAAAATGGGTAATATAAAATATAACAGAGTATAAGTAATTGTATGATCACTAAGAGATTTCTCAGAAACTGAATTTTTGAAATCAAAGCTACATAAATTAATTATTATTCACGTTACTGCGTTGGTTTGATAAAACGTGAACAAGACTTTCAGTCTCAAAACTGTGTCATTATTGAAGGAAATAGTTTAAAATAATTTAGAAATTAAGGAATTACATTAATGACTAATTTAAAATAGAGACATATCAATAAATTGTATAAATAAATTCAAGTATTTCGTATTTTTAAAAATATTTTTTTTTGCAAAAGTATTCATCATGGTTAACATTTCTGTAGAATTTTATTACTATTACTAGGCTGAACTCAGTATAATATGTATATTTTAGAGTTAGGTTTATTAGACATTTCGTTGGGAATTCTTCTAATATATGTATAACTGATCATATAACTGTAATAGTATTTAACTTCCTACATAAACAATTTCTGATTAGAATGTAAAAATAAAAACAAAATATAATTTCGCTGAGTCGTTTCGGTACACTAACATTCAATACATCAAATACCTACGCACGTGTCCATTGACCTCCTAGATCAGCTGATTTGACGCGACTCGACTTGTTTTTGTGGGGGCGAATTAAATCGCTAGTTTATAACACAGAGATAACAAGTGCCGAGGAACTAAAAAATAAGATAATAACCGCCTTTGTAAAAGTGAAAAGTGTCATTGCAGTATTATCTAAAATAAAACCACAATTGCGGAAACGGTCATTAAAGTGCATTAAACAAGGCGGTGGACATTTTGAAAATGTTTTAAAACGACAACGCTGTGCGAGTGCAAATTAAACTGTAAGTTTGTTTATGATCTTTAAATTATTGTAAATATTTTGATACACACCATTTAAACAGGCCGACTGTGTTTATAATAATAATAATAATAATAATCTTTATTTCAACCAATCTGATCATATTTACAAAATTGTTAGTATGGTGCACTCCTTAACCTATTGTTAGTAAAAAAAAAAAAAAAAAAACTACATATCTTAAAATTATAGTGTTGCAGTACCTTTCTGACATGATTTGTTTGTCAGCACATGGACCATACTGCAATGGTTCAAGTACTGACAATCAAACCTGTCAGAAAACGCTACTAGGATGCTGTTAGAACTGGCTCGAACCCTACGCACCAGGGATGCACACCGTTTACGCATGGTCGCGTAAAAGCAGTCCACCTTCGCCTCGGCGAACATCCCAGACGCGCTGCAGAATCGAGGCAGCCCCATCAGCAACCTAAAAGCGTTGTTGTACTGCACACGTAAGGCGTTGTACTGTTTTTGCGAATAATCAATCCACAGGCTGCTCGTGTAGAAGGATGTACAGAAGGCTCTAAAAAGAGTTATTTTAACAAGTGAAGTACAACGAGCAAACCTGCGTGCGATCATGTTCGCTCTAACAGACAACGCCCTGCGTTCTCGCTCGATGTCCGCATCGTCCTTCAGGTCAAAGGATAGCACATGCCCTAGATATTTAAATTGATTTACCCTGTTCAATGGGGCGCCGTCTAGTTTTATCAACGGTATCGTTGAGGGCAGTGCTTTTCCTTCAGCCTTGAAGATCATGTATTCGCTTTTACATACATTATAGACAAGACCATGATTGCGAGCATAGTTCATGCATATGTCCAACAGCTTCCCTATCCCACACGCCGAGGCACTCAGCAGCACCATGTCGTCTGCGTAGCTGATATTGTTTATATTTACTTTATCAATATGGCATCCGGCACGCGTGCTGCTGAGCTCCTCTATTAAAGCGTTAATGTACAGGTTAAAGAGCTTAGGTGAGGTTAATCCACCCTGTCTCACGCCGCATTCCAACCTGTACGGAGACGAGAAACTATTTGACCATCGCACGACGTTCGACTGGTTTCTATACCAAAATTTAAAGATATTGTTTACTTCTTCCGGAATACCAGTATCCCGCATCTTTTTCCACAGGATATCATAATGTACCAAGTCGAACGCCTTGGATAGGTCGAGAAAACATGCATAAACTGGTGTTTTTCGCTGCGTATAGTACCTGACAGTCTGCTTGAGACACAAAATGGCAGACTCAGTGGATAGTCCTGGCCTGAATCCGAACTGATTGTCATGTGGTTTAATATAATGGTCAAGTTGCATATCAAGCAGACCATCAAGCACCTTAGCTGTAACGGTAGCAAGAGAAATCGGCCTGTAATTGGACTTGTCAGAAACGTCACCCGTTTTGTTCTTCACGATAGGCACAACCATAGTTTTCATCAGAGCTGCCGGCAGGTAAGAATGTGTAATACATAGATTATAAAAAGTCGCAAGCAGTGCCGGAAGCAAGGGGCCAGCGTGCTTTAAATGCTCTATACTAAGCCCATCATGGCCTGGGGACTTACCACGCGACATTGAGGTAATAATCTTGTTTACGTCCTCAGATGTAAAACAAATTCCGATCCCCCGGTCACTCGATGCTTCCCTTACCTCTGACTGTGAAGAACCTAACGGGGACCTTACAGCAAAATGATCCCTAAACGTATTAGCAATGACACCATGTTCGCTAATGCCATCGACGCTCACAGGAAGACTCATCCCGCTATTAAATTTATTAGTAGCCTTCCAGAATTGTCTAAAGTCATGCTTGAAGTGATGCGAAGCCAGGATATCCATTTTTATCTGCTCGGCGTTGTTTTGGCACCACTTCAAACGGGACTTGAAAATACTCCGGCTACTTCGCATTTCCTCGTACACATGACCTTTCATTGGCTTACCGTACCATACCCAGACTAAAAACGCAGATCTAGCCTCCCTGTGAGCCTCGCGTACATGTCTGTTCCATCCAACCACCGGCCGCTTCCTAAAACACCTGTTTGTGCGGCTAGACTCCGAGGCGGCATTAGTTAGAATATATATAATGTCACTATAGAGCTTATCTATATACATATTGTGAGTTACATTTTTTACACAAATAATTACAGCATTTAATTTCATTACACAATTCTAAGGTACTTAATTTCTCGTGACATAGCTTACTATATAAGTTTATCTGTTCCGGCGGCTTTTTTGTCGCCCCATAGTATATCTTTCGCAATTATGTTCGAGTTACATATAACTTTTGGTTTAACCACCCCTAAGTCACACTCTATTATCAGGGGATAGTGGTCCGACCAAAACACGTCATACTTAACATAAACATTAACAATTGAAGCTAGCGCAGACATGGTGGCTATACAGTGGTCTAACCATCGTCTCGACCCATGGGCCTCACTAATAAAAGTATATGTATCTGACGAAGGGCCTAAAAACTGTACATCCGCACACGTCCATTCTAACTCATTACAAAAACTTATAAGTTCGTTGTAAAACAGTTCATTTATATGTGAGTTATAGTCTCCGAGAGCATATACTGACTCGATATTTTCATTTTTAACGATAGCACTCACCGAACTGAGGCAATCCGTGAAATCCGGAACGTTTATCAGTTTATCCGTTGGCATATACACACTAAACACTAGTAATGACCTTTGGTGTAACACTATCTTTATAGCACAGACTCTAGGGTTGTCACAGCGCACTACAGACACATTTTGGAACACACTTTTCCGCCAAAGCAGGGCTACACCTCCATAAGGCCTGCCTCGCAACAGACCCGCCTCGGTGTCTACTGCCGATGTGCCCGTACAGCCGAAATCCGTATCAATGGTATTAAGAGACGATAGTTCATGTGGAAGAGTCCACGTTTCTTGCAATGCGACTATATCTGAAGTCAAACAAAGCTGTCTTACATTTTCCATTGATCGTTTTAAACCTTTACAGTTAAAACTTACAAATTTATTTATCTGCATTTCCAGTTTTCGCTTTCTGTCTAAAATTAATAAATCGCTTAAATATTACCCCTTGAGGCCAGAGCGATTCATCCAAAAACATTGATGTCATACTATCGGGCACGAAGAATTTAAAGGCATTGTAATTCCTTTCACTGGGAAATACAACTTTATCCAGTTTTATATTTTCATTCGTTTTGTTACGTATATACTCCGTTATATCTTTCTCCGTCGTATCTTTATGTACCTTAGTAATATAGATCGGAACATATCGCACCGCCGCTTTAAATCTGCTGTCTTTGTCGTTTGATTTGCCCGACATACCGAGGTATCTATACATCTTAGTATTATGCTTCCGCCGCTGAACCAATTTCCATTCGCCGTCTGAATTCATAACCTCGGCAAAGGATAGTGTATTCGCCGACTGTATATTATTTAATGCGTTGACGTCTACGCTCGGGTTAGCTTCGGTCGGTGCCGGCGATCGGAGCGATGCGTCCTTCCCCCCGCCGCTACCGCGTTCCGCGGGGTCCCAGCGGTCTCCGCTCGAGCCGCTACGATCGGCCGTTATGTTCTCACTCGATTTTAAGGACATACCCTCAGCATGATTTGTAATTATTAAACTTCTGTATTTGTTAAGTTCACAGGACTTTTGGGATTGAATATCACACTCCATTTGCTCGCCGGAATTCGATACAATGGTATCATTTAGAGATAAGCCCATAGGCCCGCTATTTCTATAAGCCCCCCTTCGCATGTTGACTTTAACAGCTGAAAACGGCGGTGAAGCTGACTTCGAACCCAAGCATTCTTTTTTCACCTCCTGTAGCTGGTCTTTGGTTACGTATGAAGCTTTTATATTTTTAATTTCGGCTTGCACCATCGTTAAATCCTTCAAAAGTTTCGAGATATCCAGATGATCGACTCCGATTGGGGGCAAAATTTCAAGGTTCCGTGCCACATATACCGGTAGAATGTCTGGTTCTGTTCTCTTGAGAAGACTAATTATGTCATACAGAGTTCGCGCTTCCTTTCCTTTCCCTTTCCTGCTTGTTTTACGATGCTCGATAGGAATAGATTCAAACAGTAACGAACTTGCTTCTTCAATTTGTTCTGATGAAAACGTCGATACACAAATCCTTACTAACGTTTCTTCATCAGCAATCGACAGCTTACATTGTAAGTAAGCTAGAAGTTCAGAGATCACAATATTACACGAATTACATTTTAACTTCATTGTATTCGGTCCATGCAGCGGGTCCGCTGCAATTACTTTACGTGAAACTAGTAGCACACACCCATCGCGTACAGATGCGCGCGCGCGACTGACTTAACTTTGTCGTAGGTATTGTGGTGTCTAATCAAATCACGCGTTATCAGCTGTTTAATAATTCTTATTTACAAAATTTAATTTAACAAATCAGTAATTATAAAATATTGGCTTCACATTAAAAAGAAAATTCAATGTCAACAATCTAAAGCTTGAAAAGTGTGATGGAAAGAAGAATCATAAATCATAATGTAGGGTAAATGTGGGATAGTTGCCACACTTTTTGAAATAGGCAAATAAGTGATAGAATATGAGTTTTCATAAAAATTTAATGATTGTGATGTGTTGTGTACTTATTAATGAAATACTTAATTAAAGTAATTTAACATTAGTAGTTGTATTTTTTTTGGTACAAAAGAAATAAAAAAGTATTATAATCGGGGATAGATGCCTAAAGTGTGGGTTAGATGCCATAATGATGATTTCGCTTGTGGGATAGATGCCCTATGCAAATAATTAAAGATTATCTTAGATTTATTTATTTTTAATCAACAACTGTTACATTTTCATTTATAAGCATAATCATCTTTGGTTTAATATTGAAATTGAGATCAATTTTAGTATCTAATAATACAATATTAGTATAAACATTGAAAGTGGCAACTTCTGATACGTTTTAAATTTTAAATTTTTTCATTTTTTTCAAGGCGCAATTTTAATCGATTGCAAGGATTACAGTAATTTCCGTACATGGTACAAGTTTCATGCAACCATTTTTTACACATGATGCACTGGATCCAGTCTGCCGTTGATTTTGTTTCCTCATAATTTTCAAAACATTCCAGACATTCATTTGACGAATTTTCATTAGAGTCCGACTCAGAAGAAGCGATTGCCTTTCGTTCACTGGCGTTTCTGGTTATCCGTTGCTTTTTCTCAACAGCACGAATGGGACGTTGAATCACATTAGCACTTGAAGTTTCATTTATTTTTAATTTCTTAGCTCTCTTTACATTTTTCTGTTTTACGTCAACATGAGATTCATTTTCTTTGAAAGATTCATCAGAATCATTTGTACCAGATGAATCTGTCTCTTCGGAAGCTACTCTTGGCCTTTTTTTGTTATCTTCCTGGCAGGAATTCCATAACGACGAGATATTTCATTCAAGCCGTGCTGATTCTGCCTCATTTCTTCAAAAGCTTCTCTTAGGGCATCTTCCGTCCATCCAGCTCGAGGGCTTGCCCCTACTTTGCGCACGTACTTGCGAGGCATTATCTACAATACCTATAAAAATCGATAAAAGTTTAATAGGGGATAGATGCCTCTAAGGGCATCTATACTCACAAAAAACTAGGCATCTATCCTTTTTCGGGGGGATAGACGCGCCGCTCAAAATATTTATTTACTTTAATGATAAAACATACGTAAATAATAAACAAAATCTTTTATTTAACACATCTACACTTAAATAAAACAAAAATATAAACACTTACCTCATAAAATCAAAAGTTTCGAGCCCATCAAAATTTCAGACAAACCAAATTCACGAATTAACTGCCGCAAAAAATGTTCGTTGTCTCATAACTCTCGACACGTCCGTTCCAGCTAAGTGCGTGGCACTGACCGAAGGACGGGCGGGGGTAGGGTTACGTTAAAACAAAACACAACGGATCTAATGTTTATACATGTCGCTACGTGTTTACTGAGGCAACTATCCCACTGAGGCATCTATCCCACATTTACTGTAGTTATTTCGTGTACTTATTATTACCTACTTCTTATTATTGTCGGACGGCACTCGGAGAGAGGGGCGCGGGCGCGGCGAGTACAGAGTGTCGCTGAATAGCTGACCATATTATTTGCACGAAATTGGGATAACTAATTTCACAAATAAAAAATGCAAACGCACATATAAATAATATTTGGTGTATGCATTGCGTTTATATTATTATATTCGCATTGGGGTATTTGAGGGTGTGCGTTAATTACGTTACATGTTGTATATTAAACAAATTCATAGATAAAAGTAGGTAATTAAAGGAGTTTAATGACACCTGAGAGGAACTTCAAATAATTAATTATTATCAAAATGCTTACAATTAGAAAGAAATTTTGTCTTTAATGACAAATATGTCGGGAGGGAAGACAAGGAAAACTTTTAATTAAATTATTGTAACTTCATAGTAACCATAGCAACATGAAGTATCTGTTTTAAAAACCTTATCAATTAAAAGAATTAAATCTTATTTATTGTTCAATAATATATTAAAAAATATATATTTTAAAACTCTTTTATATCAATGGGGTGTGGAAGTTAATACATTTACAATCAATTACATCATTCATCATAATAAATGAATGTCCACAAACTCTGACTCAGCTGATCAGGAATTCACAACCATGTCTACAATTTCACGCTGACAAGTATTCATTTGATAGCGCAGTGGTATTGCGAGTGGATATAACGTTGTGACGTTGAGGATCACGGTTCAAACCCCAGCGGGATTAGAAAAAACAAGTTTAAGAATTTTAATTTTAAATTTAAATTTGAAATCTACAACTAGTATAACAGTAAATACTATAAATAGTACTAGTGGTTTTTTAAGCCTGTGATTAAGTGTTGTATCCTATACTAAAATACTCGTTATAAAACAAAACTAGTCCAGTGACACAAACACAGCTTTGTGTAGACACAAATTAAATCAAGAAAAATACAAAACGAAGTTTAAATATTGAACCAATTCTCAACTGATCGATCATCGACCCCGGTCATTAGCTAATTAGTAATAACTCATTAACACAGGCGCGTCGTATTCAATATGATATTATTTAAAAAGTAACATTTTATTTTATTTCTTTGAAATGAAGTGTGCCAGCTGTTTGAAAAAAAAAACTAGGTATGGCAACGTTATCAAATGCACTTCTATGCAATGCAACAATCTTTTTTGTTTGAAATGCATCAATGCTACTTCACTAACACCAGAATACGAAAAAGTTTGGTTATGTCCAGAATGTTCGGCCCAAAGAAGAAGACAGGGTGAGCTCAACCCCGGCACGTCAAACAATAGACTCACAAAATGTCACTACGGAAAAAATCTGACTACACGCTTGTTACCAGTAATTCTAATATAACAGACCTTATTAACGAGGTACGCCTGCTGACAACTGAACTATCCTCTCTAAAAAACAAATTGGATGAAGCCACAACATCAATGCTCCGCTGTCATGAACGTCTAGATATTCTAGCTACCTCGGTATCGGAAAATGAGACTCGAATTAAATTGCTTGAAAATCGAAACACGGAAATCGACATCCTTGAAGGCACAGTCTTCGAACTACGTTCCGAACTAAACAACCAAACACAAAACTACTTGTTAAACGAAATAGAGATCTGTGGCATCCCTGAACCACTTGTTGTACGCTTATTAAGACGGTCTAAGCGAAACGAATTACTAAAAGCAAGTAAAGTTCGAAAAAACGTCACAAGCACCGATCTGGGCGTATCGGGACCAACACGTAAAATATATTTTAACGAACGACTTACTAAACAAAACAGGCAATTACTTCGTCACTGCAGAAATATATCAAAAGAGAAGGGCTACGCTTTCTGTTGGACTAACAACGGAAATATTTATATTCGACAACGAGAAGGAAAATCGGCCATTGCTATTCGATCGGAAGAAGACTTGGGCAGACTATCTAACAACTAAATATGTAAAAAATCAGTTTAGTAAATTGCTCAACTGTAAACCTATATACAAAATGTCTACTTTGAGAGTATACGACGTGTTATACAAAAACTTGAAAACCAACACAACAGTCACTAAAAACCTATGTAACAAACACCTAGTTAAATGTAAAACTAAATTAATAACTAAAAAAAACACATACTTGCCGACACTAAAATATTGTAATTTTTACTTATGCTTTGATTACTTATTTCTGAGTTTTTATAAATTTTGTAATTTTTATTACTCCCAAAAATATTGTTTGGAAATTTATCTTAAACATAACGCAAAGTTCTTCCTATACTGTGCTATAAATCGTGTATGTATTTTAATGACTATGGAAACATACACCTTCAATTTTGTTTGTTTAAGTATTTGTAATTCAGAGAATATTACTGTTAAAATACAACACAAACCTATCACACAATTCATTGCATTTTTACATATATATTTTTTACACAATTATGTATTCGCTTTGAGTATTATATTTCATTATCTTATTTTTATATCATCGCATTATATGTATTATCATTATCTAATAATTTTATCACACACAAACCTAACACAAACCCGAATCATTAACCTTCTTAACAGTGTCAATATTTATATAACTGATGAATTTAATAGCGTGACTCCATCTAATCAAATTAAGAACGTACTGCCTAAATTAATAATTATTATTTGCAATGTTACTAAACAGTGTTAGCTATAATCCGGAATTAATCAATATTAAATGTCACGCAATTTCTATGCCAGAA